CAGGTCACAGGAGCTGCTGAGGGTCAGGTCACAGGAGCTGCTGAGGGTCAGGTCACAGGCGCAGAGCCCAGCCCTCAGTGCCCAGGCCCGGGAGAGGAGAGGCGTGGCTGAGCCCACACTGTGCAAGTCTGTCTGATTCCAAAGCTTTGCTCTTAAACATTACAGAATGGAATTTGGTTGAGCCCGGAAGAGAATTAAGGTATGCTTGCTTTTCCACACCAAATTCTTAAAAACACTTTCTCTCCCCCCACGCCCTGCCTCTCAAAATCCTATGTGTTATATATATTCTTTCAAAGAAAGCAGAGTTGATGGTGTCCCTAAAGAAGGCCAGAAGCCATACATATTAAAGAAAGAAACAAGAGCAGTAAGTCAGCGCAGTTCAGTGATGGAAGGGCAGAGATTGGTCCACGTAGGAATTCACAAATGCCAAGGGCTGGTGCGGGAGGGGGGGTGGTACTGGGGAGTGAGGCCTGGCTTCCCTCGACCCCTCCCCTCTGCAGTGCCACTACCTGTCACTTACCTATCCAGTTACTGCCTTGATAACCAAAGAGCATGCAACCCAGCAGGTCTCCATCCCCAAGCACACGTTGGGGCACACGGGCACTCCCTGAGCACTCTTTGTGAAGCCAGTGTGTACAAGAACTTGGTTGGGAGTTGAAAGACCAAAGATTTCAACTCTGGTTTAAACATTGGCTCAGGACCAACCACATCAAAGGTCACCTTCGTGTGTAAAATTAACCTGCCCCCGATTAGAGAACCTTCTGCCTCTGCTACGTTCCAGGCTGGATTCCAGCTGCTGGCTGGCTCTCTCTTTGGCTCTCTGCAGCTTAGAGTCACCCCAATCAATCCCCAATTCTTCTTCTTTGAAAACCTGCTCTTCGGCCTGCCGTATTCTGTTGTGGTGAATGACCCCATGGTTGCCTGTTCACTGTAATTCAAAAATATCAAGTCTACCTTTCGTCCTCCTGCCCTCATCTCCGAGGCCTGTTGATTCTACCTCCTCAGTGATGCTCACATGCATCTTCCCACTTCATTGGTTCAGGCTTCCGTCATTGCTCATCCAAATTAGTCAAACAAGAACTCATTTCCTGGCCCTTCTTCAATCCAGTTTCCATTTGACTGCTGCCAGCATCATCTTCCTAATACACAGATTTGATCCTATCACTTCTTTGCTTCAAATCTCTCAGTGAACGTGGGCAGGACCTGTTTCTTCTCATGTTGCTGTAAGCAACTTGGGGGCAAAGATAATGCTATGCCCCTTAGTGCCTAGCAAAATGCCTGGCACATAGCAGGTACTTCATAAAAATCTGAGTGGAAGGATTCCAAGTCTCACCAGATGCCACCTGGATGTGTTAATAGCAGAGTAGGGCGTGGTTAATAGCAGAGGCTTCAGACTGGCAAACTTGACAGGTCTGAGTGCCAGCACCACCAACCTCCAGCTCTTTGGCCTGGGGAAGATTTCTTACCTTTTGTCATCCTTGGTTTACTCAGCTGTTAAATTAGAATGCCACCCCCTCTCTTACAGAGAATGGGAAAATGAACCTAAAGGGGTTAGCACTGTGCCTGGCACAGAGAAGCAATCAATAAAGAGTTGCCAATCATCAGTTAAACATGAAGGGTTAGAAAAGAATCCAGACCCTAGCTGGTTTGGCTCAGTGGATAGAGTATTGGCCTGTGGACTGAAGGGTCCTGGGTTCGATTCCAGTCAAGGGCACATGCCAGGGTAGCTGGCTCGATCCTCAGTGGGGGGCATGCAGGAGGCAGATGATCAATGATTCTCTCTCATCATTGATGTTTCTCCCTCTCCTCTTCCTTTCCTCTCTGAAATCAATTAAAAAAATAAAATAAAAATAAAAATAAAAAAGAAACCCAGGATTTTGAAGCTAGAACCATTAGGCTCCAAGAAGCAAAGTGACAATGTCACAAATTTAGCAAGGGGTAAAATCAAACTTAAAACCCAATGTCAAACAGGTAACTTGCTGTTACTCTATATAGCTGTGGGTGAAAAGGGGGCCATACACTAAACCTGACAAGCTCAGGGAGGTCTGCAATTGGCGGGGAGAGAAGGGGCTTATCACTTAAGAGACCAAAAGTAACCACACAGGGTAGTCTGAACATAAAAATTCCTAACCAAAAGCTAGTCATGGCGGTAGTCACATCCTAGGACTGTAGCTTCGTTGACAAAGGTCAATCTTTTATTTTTTTTAAATCGATTTTTAGAAAAACATCGATATGAGAGTTAAACATCAATTGGCTGCCTCTTGCATGCCTTGACTGGGGATGGAGCCAGCAAAAGCTCGACATGTGCCCTGACCTGGAATCGAACTACAGTGCATGGGTCAACACCCAACCAACCGAGCCACACCAGCCAAGGCGACAAGGTCAGTCTTAAATGAACCCATCTGTCGTCTTTTTGCATCTAAGATAACATATCCTTGGAGTGTCAATCTCCTTTTCCAGATCTCAGGGATACCTGCCTCAACAGAGCATCCTACAGAATCCCTCACCGTTCTTGTTCCCCTGTGTACAATCTCCATGTGCTGTAAATCTTCTACCCACCAATGTAAAAGTTTTATTTTTTATATAATCTCAGAGATCCCCTCCCCTTTGCTTTCTCCTTTCTATCTATAATGAATTTCCTGTAAACCCCCAGCCCTTATGTCTCCTCCTTTGGTTCTAATGTATAAAATAAGCTGTAAAGCCCTGGCCAGTTTGGCTCAGTGGATAGAGCGTCAGTCTGCGAACTGAAGGGTCCCAGGTTCGATTCTGGTCAAGGACATGTACCTTGGTTGCAGGCACATCCCCGGTGGGGGGTGTGCAGGAGACATCTGATCCATGTTTCTCTCTCATTGATGTTTCTAACTCTATCCCTCTCTCTTCCTCTCTGTAAAAAATAAAATATATTTTAAAAAATAAAGCAAGCTGTAAAATTGACATTCTTAGGAGCATTTTCTCAATTTATTGAGATTTTGCTTCCTGGAATTTGTCTATTTGGCTCAAATAATCTCCTAGTCTCTACAGGTTTGTATGTTTTTTATGATGACACAGCTGTTTGGTAGACTTACATAGGTAAATGAAAGTGCTTTGTGAATAAGACACAGACTGTAGATACAGGGTATTCATTGATGTACCTGGCATATTGCATACACAGATACTCTTCTCTAAACTTGCACTTGGGCTAATATGCCTTAGGGCAAGTTCATAATTTCACAACTGTTGATCTTTCCTATTGTCAGCTGTAATTATCTGTTAAACTAGGAATTAAATGATTCCTCCTTGGAGCCTTCACTAGACCCCTGGTTCTTTAAGGTGGATAAACAGGGCTATCATCTGAACTTTTTAAAAAAAATTAATTTTAGAGATAGAGGGAAAAACTTCGACCTGCCATTCCACCTACCCATGGCATTTATTGGTTGATTCCTGTGTGCCTAACCTGGGAACCTGCAACCTTAGTGTGTTAGGACAGTGCTCTGATTGAACTAACCAGCCAGGGCCCCCTTCCTATTTTGAGAACCACTAATAGCTTTAGGCTATTAAGTTTATGTTTGGCATATACAGTTCTCAATCTTTGCCCTTTCCCATGCTCACCTGCAGTAGGGGACCTCTTAGCATTAGAAAACATCATTATGCCATGAAGAGAATATCAGAAGGGCTTGTGTTTTATCATGCATGTGGTCACTCTGCCCAACAGGACTTGTTGACAGAGACTGAGGCAGCATTCTGCAATGCGGCTCTTCTATTCCCAGTTGAAGCCAGGATCCTGGGGACAGAGAGCTGGAGAGGGAAGAGGACTGAAGGACAGGACATCTCCAGGCACTCTGCAGGGCAAGCTGGGCTCTGACCAGACAGAAAAGTGAGGAAATGGTTGTAAGGTCCTTTAGTCCCCCCAGGTCCTTCCTGGTGAACAAAGTAAGACTGAGCTCATCCCAACCTTAGACAGACACCAGGGACCTTCAGAACATGGGGTGAGAGGATGAAGCATACAAGCCAGTTGCTACTTTACTAAGATACACACAAAGGCAGGTTTGTTCCAGCCAACAGGCACTCTAAAAACTGATCTCAAATGAGAATTTCCTAGTTTACTGATCACAATGTAATGTGCTTTCACGTGGATTCCGTTTGGGGTGTGGCTTTCCCAACGTATAGGACACTTGGCACCTCTTTATAAGGTGTCATGGACATTTCGTGTTGGGCTCAGCAGGAACCAACTTGCTCAGAACTCAGCTGCCTGTGCAAGCAGATCCTGAAGCAAGGGCGTGACAAGATCATGTCGAGTCTGTGCGGCCGCAAATTCCTTGCTACAAGCAGCCATGACCGTGACTCTGGTCCCTGGAGCCAAACCAGCCACTCAGGAGGGCACAAGTACTGGTGTATATACGGAGCCTGCATTTCCTAAGACAGTGACTCACCTTCCCAAAATGAGGGTGTGAACTACCAAGGAAGAGCTAGCAGGAGCAACCAGGCTGACATCACCAAGCACGGTTCCTCTCTTGCCCCATCACTGCCATGTGCCCATTCTCCAAGCCACTTTCCTGGTCACAGGACTCCACGAAAGGTTCTCTAATGGCTTGGGGTGTGATTTGAGGTGTAGTCCTTGACATGTGGTAAGGGTGAGGACAAGGTGCCAGAGCACATGGGTTACACAAAAGGCTGGCCAGTGCTTCCCCATGATTTCCAGCAAACACGGGCCTACTTAGTGCCACCCAGAGAGCTTGAACCCCCTTACAGAATTATAGTCCTACAAGACCCGTGACAAAAGTTTAATGTAAAGTTAATAAGAAATCACCACACCCTGGCTGGGTTGCTCAGTGGGTTAGTGTTGTCCCGTACGACAAAAGATGGCAGGTTTGATTCCCAGTTCCAGGTTGTGGGTTCAATCTTTGGTTAAGGTTCATACAAAAGGCAACTGATGGATGTTTCTCACTTTGATGTTTTTTTCTCTCTCCCTTCCTAAAAAAACAAAACAAAAAACAGAACACCACATAACTGTTTTTCCATTATTAAAATTTATCAGGAAAAATATTTATCAAGGGAATAATCTGAGTTTTTAGAGGCTTGGTTTAGAAAAGTAAAAGACTAAAAACTTTTAGAGGATGGGGTAAGGGGAGAAATAGGAGATATCTGTAATATTATCCAATAAAAAATATATTTAAAAATAAAAAATAAAATTTTTACCTTTGACAGAAAATTTTAAAAAAAGGACTAAGACCATTTAAACATTTTAAATCTTTTAACCTACCAAATGGGATCTAAGTTAAATAAATCCTCTCATGCTTTAGGGAAGAGATAGCTTTCCTAAATCATAAAAGTTGACTTCCAAGTCACACTCTTACTTCTGCCTTGTAATCCTACGTACTAAACCTCACCAAGGATGGCTTCTCTGGAAGTCAGGGTGGGATAAGCAGGCAATATCCTGCCCTGATCGTTTTGGCTCAGTGGATAGTGTCTGAAGGGTCTAAGATTAGATTCTAGTCAAGGGCATGTACCTTGGTTGTGGGCACATCCCCAGTAGGGGGCACGCAGGAGGCAGCTGATTGATGTCTCTCTCTCTCATCAATGTTACTCTCTATCCCTCTCCCTTCCTCTCTGTAATAACATCAATAAAATATATTAAACAAAAAACAAAACAAAACAAAACAAAAAAAAAAACAGCCGAAACGGATTTGGCTCAGTGGATAGAGCATTTGCCTGCAGACTGAGGGGTCCCGGGTTCGATTCTGGTCAAGGGCATGTACATTGGTTGCGGGCACATCCCCAGTAGGGGGCGTGCAGGAGGCAGCTGATTGATGACTCTCATCGATGTTTCTGGCTCTCTATCTCTCTCCCTTCCTCTCTGTAAAAAAATCAATAAAGTATATTAAAAAACAAACAAAAAAACCCCCCAAAAAACAAAAAGCAGGCAATATCCTGACACAAACTAGATGTAGACTCTGATATGTAATGTGATTATATAATTTATCATCCAACGAGGATACTTCTGAGAGGAAAAGGGGTGCTGTTAACCACTTGAGAACAAAAGGCATACAACACCCTTGGACAAGGCAGTTTGGGAGACTAAATTTCCCAGTATGCCCTGCCCTTGAAAGTAGAACAAAGCAGGTGGGGGCCTGTGGTTAGCACCATTTAAGAGGTAAACAGTAGAGGGCTGGCATGGAAACGTCCTCCTTCCATGGGATACTTAGCCGGACACAGAACACAACACCTGAGGTGAGATTTCAGTGGATATTAAGTCTGGGGTAGAGCCTCTCTCCCCCCAACAACTTTAGCTTCCAAAGGTGCGGAGCGGGTAGCGCCGTCCACTGGTCCACTGCCATTTCTCCTTTCATCGCCGCTGTCCCCACTGCTGCTAATCTTTAGGGGAATTCTGGGCCAGGTACTGTTCCCACTCAACTTCAACCAACTTGTACAGCTCCATGGTGGCCTGAGCGTCTTCCACAGAGGAATGCCCACTTTTTCCAGCCTGAATGACGGAGGAAGAGAAAAGCACTGGGCTATAAGCAAGTGCTGTTTTATATGCATAACCCATACACACAGACAATGGGGTGGTGAAGGCTTGCAGGGCAGAGAGTTGGAGAGGGCAATGGGGGGGGGGGGGGAAGGGGCCATATGCAATACTTTCAACAATAAAGATTTTTTTAAAAGTGTTGTTTTCCTCCCCTTCCCTACCAGCTCCTCCTAATCCCTTATATAAGCAGTTGTTTCTGTAGAGCTAGTAGACTGCAAAGGTAGAACTATGGTAGGACACTACTCCTTATTTAATTTCAAAGGTTCAACTCCTAGGAAGTCTGCTATTACCTGCCTCAATCCTTTCTCTGGCAACATGTGAACGCCATATTCTTCTAATCTGTAGAGACAAGGCATCTAGATCATAGCCAGGCCTTCTAAGTCTTCCATTTCCCCCAGTTCCTTAACTCTCTCTGACACGTCTATACCCTCTTACCAGGCAGGTCACCCCTTTCTTGAAGGTCAAAGATGTGAAATAGCTCAGAGGTCCTTGCATCCACGCTGAGGTCTTTAGACCATCACCATTACCTGCTTTCCTAGTTTCTTAGGGTTTTACACCCACTTACGGTTGTTGTTGTTGTTTTTTTCCTTTCTCAAGTACAATTTGGAACACTGGTAGCGAACAGGAATTATTATCCTTAGGTACACATGGAGAGATCAATGGGCTTCTTAGCCCAAAGCTCTTCCTGTAAGGGCAGCCTGCCTGGATTTCTCTACGAAGGGATTCTGGGCTCAGAGCCTGGAGAGGCAGTAAGACAGGGCCCCCCAGTGCGCAACCCAGGGGCCTGGCAGCCTTTGGGGAGATGTTACCTGGATGTCCCGGTTCAGCAGCTTCTTTGTGAGGTACTTCAGAGACATGGTCGCATTCTCCGGGCAGTCCGCCTTCCGGTTGAGAGGAGGGATGTGGGAGGTGTCGCGGGTGAGAGACTTGGGGTGAAAGTACTGAAGGGCTTTGAAGTCATTGTGGATGGCATGTCCCACCACTATCTTCCCTGTGAGTATCTTCAAGATCTGAAATCGGCAGGAAGAGGTGGTAAGTGGGACTCAGGCGCAGCCCTGCATCCTAAAAGTCCATCGTGGTCCTAGGTCCTTTCAGATTCTTTCCATTAAGTGCCCACCTCCTTCCTCCTTGAAATGCCCTCTCCCACAAGCTTTCTTTCACATAAAATCTACCTTCTCCCCACAAGGTAAAAGTAGGTGTGTGTGTGTGTATTATTTTTATTTTTCAATTACAGTTTATTTTTAATACTATTTTGTATTGGTTTCAAATGAAAGCATAGTGGTTAGACAATCATATACTTTACAAGGTGTTCTGCCTGGTATTTCCAGTATCCACCTGGCATCACAGTTATCACAATATCATTAACTACATTCCCTTAGCTGTACTTTATATCCTCATGACTGGTTTATAACTGCCAATTTGTGTTTCTTAATCCCTTCACCTCTTTCACCCAGTCCCCGAACCCCCCTTCCCTGAAAGTAGGTATTTCTCAGTGTTACCCTTTTTGGACTTACATCGTCAGCGGCTCCTTGCCTTCTCACCAATTTCCACTCCAATGATAGATTAACTTGCTACAGTCTTAAATCACACTCACATTCAAGATGTTTATGTAACTATATAGTTCAGTGCTGGCTTGCTACTTGAAGTTCTTTAAACATTATCATTATGCTGACTTTAGGCAGAGGCTGGGATAAAGGGAGTCAACGATGGGCTCCAGGGAGGTGACAGAAGCCCCAAATTACACACACACACACACACACACACACACACAGTTTTTTGCAGGGAGAGACTATGGCTTTCATCATATTCTCAAAAGGTGTACAAACCATAAAAGATTAAGAATCACTTATCGCCCTAGTCAGTGTGGCTCAGATGGTTCAGCATCATTCGGTGTGTGGAAAGGTCACTGGTTCAATTCCAGGTCAGAGCACCTGCCCAGATTGTGGGTTTGGTCCCCAGTTGGGATGCATATGAGAATAATAGATGTTTCTCTCTCCCTTCCTCTCTCTCTCTCTCAAATTAATAAAAACAATATATATATTTTTTTAAAAGAATCACTTATAGACTAAGGTTGTAGAGGGATGTGGGAGACCCAGGCCTGGGCTATTTTGTTTTGAATGTTTTATTATTATTTAATTATTATTTCTTTTTAGAGAGGAAGGGAGAGGGATAGAGAGCTAGAAACATCGCTGAGAGAGACATCAATTGGCTCCTCAGTTCCCAGCTGAGGAGCCGGCTGCAATCTGGGCGTGTGCCCCGATCTACAATTGAACTAGGGACCTCCTGGTTAGAGAGCTAGAAACATCGATGAGAATCATCCATCAGCTGCCTCTTGCAAACCCCCTACTGGGGATGTGCCCTCAACCAAGGTGCATGCCCTTGACCGGAATCGAACCTGGGACCTTTCAGTCCGCAGGCCGACGCTCTATCCACTGAGCCAAACCGGTTTCAGCTTTGCTTGTGCTGTTTTAACAGAAAGTCAGTTTCACTGTGGTATAGCTCCTCCTGCTCATAACCAAAGGGTATTTACCATCTGTTCAGAAAACTTATCCACACCAGACTTGAAACCAAATAGCTTCCCATGACTCCAAGATCCTAAAGTATGACATACTACCAGTGAGGACAACCAAAAACTATGCCATGGGCTCTGAAGGCCATTCCAAAACAGAGTTCCAAATAGGTTGTGAGCAAGAGCAATAGTCCAAAAAAAATCAGTGCATAGCCTCCCTCTTGAGAGGGGCCAGACCTTAGCCTCAGACCCAGCTAGCTTGGGCACTGGGAAGCGATTCATGATGAAAACCAGGTGTAGTGTAATCAACTAAGTATTTAGTTGCTCTTGATTTCACCTCCAGTTTATTGTCCACCAACACCTTTACTTCGCATGAACTTCAACACATAGCCCTTGTTAAAGCTGAGTGGGTTTGCTGTCTCAGACCCACCCCACCTCCTGCCTCTCCCAAGCCTTTGTTCAGCTGTGCCCCTAATGAAGAGGATGTTCTTCAAGGTCGTTCTGAAGACTAGGGGCTCTCCCCTCCTGGGAGCACACTCAGAACTTACTTGTTTTCTGAGCCCATTTCTTCTAACACTCACTTCTTCACCTCCATGAATTCTTAACTAAACTTTCCCTTATAGTTTGAAAAAAAATCTTCACTGTTTCACCTCTGATAAGCTTCCTCCAACGGACTGTTTTGGCATATAAGCAATCATTGGAACCGAGGAGGCTGTCTAGAAGCCAAGAATGTGAAGCTGAAATTACAAAGCGGTGGACCGAGGGCGCCCTCTGCAGGCCTCCCCTGGTTCACCTTCCTCTCCTGTTCATGAGTTGTGCTCCCAGTCCCCCCCAGCACTGAGCTACAATGAGCAGGTGTGCTCAACGGGAGAAATTAAAAATCTGACACATCAACCCTGTGTCTTTTATCCCCTTCGCTGCAGGCTACCTGTTCCAGTTACACAAATAATCGCCAGCTCGTTCCGTAAACATTCTGCCTTCTCCTACCACCAACACAGCCCACACTTCCCTGGACCCCTGCCCGCCCACCTGGCTGCTCTCATTGCGCCCCATGACTCTCACCTGGCCCCGAGCGATCTTGAAGGGCGTAGCGTTCACCATGTGCTGCTTGCGGATACCACTCCATCTGGTGCGGTAGTCCACAATGGGACAGGGCGGGAGGACGTACTCATCATAGAGCACATCCCCGTGGTAGTTGACGATGCTACATCGAGCCAAGGAGCTCACATGGCCCTTGGGTCCGGTGCCCACCATCTCACAGTCAATCGCCACCATCTTCCTTGGTGTCTTGTGGGATGCTCCAGAGCATTTGTTCTCTGAGGGAGCCAGGGTGGAGTCATGGGGTGTATTCTTCTGAATAGGGTTCTTCTGGGGGTCCTTCTTCTGAGGGCGAGTTGGGGGGCTCTTAGTCTCTGGAAGGGAGCTCTGGAACTCCTCCAGCAAATCTGCTTTTGCCACAACAGAACCAGTCTTCTGTGAAGGGGCAGGGGTCAGCCAAGGCACAGACGCTTTCTTGTCCAGGGTTGGCTCGGACCCACGGCTCGAGTCTGCAGCCTTCTTCTTCTTTGGAAGGGGAGAAAAGTCCCAGGTGCCACCCACCTGAGTGACCCCTTTCTCTGCGGGTTCTGAGTGCCCCTTGGGCACATTGTTAGGGGGCTGTTTTTTCTTATTGAGAAGGCCTCTCCTTTCTAAGAACCGCCGCCTCCTGACAAATTTTTGGTGCTTGGCATTCCCTTCCGAAGTCTTTTTCGGGGGAGGTTCGCCAAAATCCAGGTTGAGGAGTAAGGTAGACATGAGGATGGTGATTGGCTAGGAGAGCAGTTGCGAAGAGTGGCTCACCAATGAAAGGACAGAGGACTCATCCTCTGCTGAATCCCACAGGCCAGCATCTGAAGGTTGGAAGGATGCCCTGGGGAAGAAAGCGAATCTGATAACAGATCCCAAAGGCCTGGGACAGTAAGACCCATCTCCATAGGATTCAATGTAGGAAATAAGAGCAATCAGATAAGAGGGGGAACAAATCTATAATGTGAAGTGACGGAAGGACTCTGTCTGAGACAAGCCCATAATTCACCAGTCATATCCCCCTCTTTAGATCTGTCCCGCTTGTAAATAGAGGGGGTTGGAGGGCCAACCAGCTGGATTCTCTTTCCGAGTCCGGAAAGCCAGAATAGGTGGGCTCTACACCGGCCCAGGGAGGGCGTCTAAGCACACTCGAAACCAGTGATGAGTGCGGCGGAGATGACATCTAGATCTGCCAGGCATCCCCAGCGCCGGTCCCACGAACAGGTGTACCTCCGGGCACTCCTTTGCCCCGTTTCCGGGCGGAGGCCACCTCCACGTGCTTCTCACCCACGTTCTTCTCCCAAGAAAGGACCGTTTACCAACAACACACAGCAACTGGGGAGTGGGGGAGGGGGGGACTTGAGGCCGAGGCCGGCGAGCACACTCTGGCGGTCAAGAAGCCCGTTCCTCACCATCACCACCGACCTACCTCCCAGACGTGCCCACTAAGAACGGAAACGCTAGGAACCGGAAACGGAAATGGGCGCTGGCGGAGAGCCCGGGTCCGGCAGGCAGGCGGGCCGGCGGGCGGGCGCGCGGGGTGGAACGTGCCGGAGGTCGTGGGACCCCGGCCGCTGGGGGCGAGGTCAGGCAGTCCGGGTGCGAGAGCAGCGGCAGCGCGGCGAGGGCGGGGTGCGCTCCGGACCCCTCTAGCCCCGCGGAGGTACAACTCGGAGGTGTGGGGCGGCCGAGACCGACGGCGACGGCCGCGCGCTAGGGCCCCGAGCCCCACTTCCGGGATGGGCGGGAAGTGCTCGGGTGGGCGGGGCCTGGGCGCCGCGGCCCGCCTCTGTGGCGTCACAGTCGGGCATCCCACCCCGCTTGTCTCCTGCGCTGTGAACGACGCGACCTGTGATGTCAGGACGACACCTCGGGCTTTAAGCCTCCTCCTGGGACCCGGGGAAGGAGCGTTTCCGGCCCACGGAAAGGAGAAGAGCGCTTTTCTCCTCCTCCCGCCTGCAGAGCTGAGCCCAGCCCGGGTCCGGTCCTGGGTCCGCGTGGTGCTGACCCCGCTTCCCTCCTCGCCGCGTTCTCGCTCCTGGCGTCGCCGACTGGACCCCGATGCCAGGTGTCTCCGCCCGGGGCCTCTCTCTGGAGGAGCGGAGGCAGCTGGCTGTGGATCTCACGCGTGTCCTGTCTCTCTACCGGCCCCTCCTGGACGCCTACATCATTGTGAGGCCACGGGCTCGGGGACGGGGTGCTCCTGGTGGCGTGCTGGGCTCGGTGCCCACGACAGGGAGAGGATTCTGAAGGGGCTAAAACTGGGGAGATTCTTCCCCCTTTTTCTTTTTTGCAGATGACACAAACATTAATATTTCCACTATCTAGATTATTTTTCCAAGTTCATAGTAATAAAACGCATGCTGCAGCTTCATTAAACTGTCCTAGGAACAGGTGAGGCATTCCCAGAACACAAGTTCATTCATCCACGCTTTGAATCAATTCCTGGCTTTGTAATGTAATGGACAATTTAAGCTTTGGAATCCTGCCCCCCCCCTCCCCCTTACTGTGTTAACTTACATAGGTGTGACATGAGAATTCCTCCTAGCCCCGCTGTAAAAGGGACTCCTGTTAGGAGTGTCTTTGTGAAGAATAAATGAGATGCTGTATCAGTGTCACCAGCATCCACTGAATCGCTCTGCCCCTATTCCAATCTTGATTCAGCTCTTTCCTTTGCTGATCTATAGTCCCATCCTTCAACAATGCCTGTGGGCTCCACCTGTAAGAATTCACCCATTTGTCTTCTTTTCATTGCTATGGTCCTGGGCCAGCCCACCATCTCCTCTCCTGGACTGCGTCCTAATTAATCTCTGTTTACTTCAGCCCCTCCATAATCAACTCTTCACAAGCAGCCATGTTAATCTCTTTAAAGAAAAGTCTGCCGAAACCGGTTTGGCTCAGTGGATAGAGCATTGACCTGTGGACTGAAGGGTCCCGGGTTGGATTCCGGTCAGGGGCATGTGCCTTGGTTGGGGGCACATCCCCAGTGGGGGGGGTGCAAGAGGTGGCTGATCGATGATTCTCTCTCATCGATGTTTCTAACTCTCTATTCCTCTCTCTTCCTCTCTCTAAAAAAAATCAATAAAATATATATTTTTTAAAAAAGTCTGATCATGGCAGTCCTTGCTCCCTAGGTGATTTGATGAAATCCTAACTCTCTACCAATATCTGTCATGCATGTGAAGCCCTACGGGATCTATCCCCTGCTGTCTGAATCCTATCGCATTTCATTCTCCCACATTCGCTATACTGTACCTCCAGCGGCCTGATTTCTTTCTTTTTATCCTCACCCAAGGATATTTTTCTTTTCTTCCTTCCTTCCTTCCTTTCTTCCTTCCTTCCTTCCTTCCTTCCTTCCTTCCTTCCTTCCTTCCTTCCTTCCTTCCTTCCTTCCTTCCTTCCTTCCCTTCCTTCCTTTTACGTGGTGCATACCCAAAACTCCAGAATTTGTGTTCAACAAGTGAGTGAATAGAAATACATTCTGGCATATCACGGGTCTGACATATGTACTAGTATGTTACTGAATGGTAACATGCTAACGCCGCCTGTTGGTCACTGGGTGTTACGGATGGGATTGTGAGAATCGCCATCCCTGCATGAGGTTCTTCATGCAGTTGAGTGGAGAAAGCAGACAAATAAGTGGGACGGTGCTAAAAGCAGAGGTGTGCTCGGAGTGCAGTCTGGGCTCTGAGGAAGGAGTGGGGGGCTGGAGCGGGCTTTAGAGAAGGGGTGACTCGGATGAGTGGTAGGTGCCTGCTGGTTGCAGCCAGTGGCCTGCGTTGAGAGTGGGGTTGGGAGAGAATGGGAACAGGAATGAGTAGCCTGTGATTGCTTCTCCCCTTCTGCAGGAGTTCTTTACAGACAGCCTGTGGGGCACACTCCCTCGCTCATGGCAGGAAGCCTTGGATGGACTGGACCCACCACAGCTGGCCACTCTGCTGCTGGGGATGCCTGGGGAAGGGGACGTGGTCAGGTATGGGCAAGGGGGGCCCTCTGCTGGGGGACGTGGCCCTGAACCCCTCAGTCACCGCTCAGAGGGTCTCCCAGGGGACTCCTGGGTTGTAAACGGGTGCCCCCAGGACACAATGGGACTGTTCACTGGGGTTCTGGGCCGGGCTGTCTCAGGTACAGGTCCGTGTGGCCACTCACCCTGCTGGCCCTGAAGTCCACAGCCCGTGCCTTGGCCTTCACCCGGACACCTAAGTTTCAGACCCCCTCCGAGTTCCGGGAGAACCCGAGCCAGAGCTCCCGACTGAAGGCTCCGTTCCGAAAACACGTCCGGCCCAAGAAGCAGCATGAGATCCGGCGGCTGGGCGAGGTGAGGCCGTGCCTGGGGCGTAGGCAGGGTCCGGAGCCTGGGGCCTGAAGCCAGCGGGTTAGAGAGATGTGGGCGCCTTCTGTGACCTGCCGTCCCTTCCTTGGCAGGCATGCCAAAATCCTAGCCGGATGCTGGTTTGGGGGATTTGTGGGGTTTTGTTTTGTTTTTCATCCTTTTGCTGGGTTGCTTGGTAGCCTTGTCTGAGTCACTGTTTTATCCCTGTGTTCATACCTCCCTAATCTGTGCCTGGCTTCACAGAGGGGCTCCTTTTGCTCTTGGGGAGGCTGAATCACTGACCTTAGAGGAGTGAGGACAGCAGCCTGAGCCCAGAGTCAGCATCCCTCTTCCAGTTTTCCTATCTCCCATCTCCCATGGCACCCACTACCCCTCTTCCTCTGCCGGCTTAACCTTCCCCACCCTCGTTATGGCTGACGGTCCTGGGAATCGAGAACCAACGGCCAAGAGACCTTTGCTCCCTTCTCTTTCAGTTGGTGAGAAAGCTGAGTGACCTTACAGGCTGCACCCAGGTTGTGGATGTGGGCTCAGGCCAGGTGAGCCAGACAGACCCTAACGTTCTTATTTTTGTTGTTGTTGTTGTTGTTGTGTGTGTGTGGAGGGTGTTGGAGGTTTGAGTTGTGGGGATAGAACAGCTGGAAGGCAGCAGGCGGTCAGGTCCAGCCCCAGGGGGGCAGGCACAAGGAGTGACAGAAGTAAACAGGGTAGAAGTTAAGCCTCCAGGGCGCCTGGAACCAGGTGTCTAGGCCCCTGGAAGAGGTGACAGCAGATCAGAGCACTGAGCAGGGCTTTCTCTACCCTCCCTCTCACGACTCCAGGGCCATCTCTCCCGCTTCATGTCTCTGGGGCTAGGGCTGAGGGTGAAGAGCATCGAAGGGGACCAGAGGCTGGTGCAGAGAGCCCAGCACCTGGACCGGGAGGTCCTGCAGGCTCTGGAGAAAGAGGAGAAGAGGAACCCGCAGGTAGGCCTGCCTGCTGGAAACCGGTCGTTGTCACTAATACAGAGATGTGCCGGGAGGCCGGTCCTCCCTCATCGCTCTGAAAGGTCGGAGCTAATCATTGCTCAGTGGAGACTTTGGTAGTTAGAGCAGCCTCCACCTGTTACTCTTCTGGAAATTCTTGCTGATTGGCGATTGTTGGAATTTCCTGCCTAAAGGATATGGGTGTCTCCCATAACCTTAATAAAAGGGATAGCAAGGCGGTAGTCCTCCCACTAGAGGTGGGCTCCCGCCAGGCCCCCAATATCGCCAAATTAATACTTTCCTAGTCTCTCTTCATTTGTGTGCGGCCTTCTCCAGAACCCGAACCCTGAACCGGAACCCTGAACCACACCTGCCCTTACTGCAGCGGCGGGGTCTGCCTGGCTAGATTCCCTCTTTCAAGTGTTTCAGCTTGAGATGATGTGGTCCCTGTCTCCGCTCCCCCTCCCCCGGGTTTCCCTTCGCCACAGCCTCTCCGCATCTTAGAGGCTCTCTCTGGCCCAAAGTGCTTTCCGCAGGGTCCGGCCGTCTCACAACCACCCGTGCAGTGGCCAGTCGGGTATTAGACTCATTACAAGAGGAAATTGGGACTCAGACATGAAAAATTGGCCGTTATGACAGATCCATCATTAACCCCTTCTGGTTCAAGGTCTAGCTCTCCCCCGTGCCCCAGCTGCTTCTCGTCTCCTTCCTCCGGAGGGAGCACAGAGGCCAGGCCGCTCCTGCAGCCTGAGGCGGCGTGGGGACAGCAAACAGGCTTCCCAGCTGCCTTGTCCTTTTCTCCCTCCGCAGGTGGTGCAAACGCACTCTCCCCGCTCCCCGCACCATGTGGTTCAGTGGGTAGATCCCGGGACCCTGTGTGAGGAGGTTCTGCTCCCGCTGGAGACCTCCCCTCGGAGCGAGGCCCGCTTGCTGCTGACGGGGCTCCATGCGTGTGGGGACCTGAGTGTGGCCTTGCTGAGGCATTTCTCGTCCTGCCCTGAGGTGGCGGCCCTGGCCTCCGTGGGCTGCTGCTACATGAAGCTCAGCGACCCCGGCGGGTACCCGCTGAGCCGGTGCGTGGCCGCGCTGCCCGGCTGCGAACTGTCCTACCGGCTGCGGGAGGGGGCCTGCCATGCCCTGGAGGACTACGCTGAGCGGCTGCAGGAAGCAGGCCCTGGCCTCCGCACACACTGCTACCGCGCAGCCCTGGAGACCGTCATCCGGCACGTCCAGCCCCAGCTCCGCCGGCCAGGCGTGCAGGGGATCCCCAGGGCCCACGAGCTCAAGATTGAAGAGTGAGGCTGGAGGAGGTTGGGGGGAGGGGGAGTTGGGAGCCTGCTGGAGGTCCGATTCCCCTCCCACGACCCCGACCCCGCTTGTTAGCAAGTCCTAGTGAAGCGAATGCTGCCGGGGAGGGATGGAGTTCTGACTGGGGCAGCTTCTCAGCATTCCTTTAAAAGGGAGTTGTCATTCTTTTACCAGTAGACTATCAAGACTCTTAAATCTTAGGAATATGGCTAAGTAATTGGACAGGTCTGGCTGAAAATACATTTTTGGATCCATTTGTTACTGGATAGACAACTCGTAGCCAGAGAAACATTTTAAAGTGGAAATGAGGCCCTGCCTGGATGGTGTGGCTCGGTAGGTTGGAGGGTCGTCCCGTGCACCGGGATATGCCGCAGGGCTGCGGAAAGCAGGCCCTGGGCCTGGTCCGGTCGGGGCACATGCGCAGTTTGCAGGTTTGATCCCCACCCAGTCGTGCTGAGTATGGGAGGCAATCAATCAATGTATCTGTCACATGTTTCCCCTTCCTTCCTCTAAAATCAATTAACAACAAAAAGGAAAATAGAAATTGGGGTAGCAAATCAAGCAGAGTTGGAATAAAGCAGGAGTGGACAGTTTGAGTGGGAGGAGGAGGCTCTAAAGCCAGCTGAGTGCTGTGTGGCTGACCCACAGGTACGTCCAGAGGGGGCTGCAGCGGGTGGGGCTGGACCCCCAGCTGCCGCTGAGCCGGGCTGCTCTGGAGGCCCAGCAGGCCCAGGAGAACCGCGTAGTCGCCTTCTACAGCCTGGCCCTGCTGCTGGCCCCACTGGTGGAGACGCTGATTCTGCTGGACCGGCTGCTGTACCTCCAGGAGCAGGGTGAGGGTGGCCTACAGTGGGGACCCAGGGCCAGGGGGGCTGGGTCTTGGGGTTCCTCCTTCAGGCCCCAGGCAGCACTGAGGACTGCCTTCTCCCAAGTCGGCACCTCAGGCACGGGTGTTCCGGTGGAGAACCGGTCTCCTCAGTCTCTGGGAGCCCCCGCGGGGAAGGGCAGTGCCTGCCTGCAGCCTCCGCACGAAGGGGCGCTGAGTGGGCTTCACTTCTGCCCTTCTTAGTAGTAGTCCTGCCTTTCTCCCAGGCTTCCATTCTGAGCTCCTGCCCATCTTCAGCCCGGAACTCTCTCCCAGAAACCTGGTGTTGGTGGCTACCAAGAGGCCGCTGGGCCCGGCCTTCTCTGTCCTGGAGACGGAAGACGCTGATGCCCGCTGAGGAAAGGCGCATCTTGGACTCCATCTGAACCCGCCCAGGTGCCACGGTGGGCAGCAGTCTGCACTCTACCCAGAGGCAGCATCCTGCATCCTCCCGGAATCATGGTATCCCACAGACCAGTTTCGTACCCTCCTTCCATGTGTTATATTTGTAATATTATGTATAAACTTATTTTTAACTTATTAAAAAAATTAAATCTTGCCCTGGCTAGTGTTGCTTAGTGGTTAGTGTTGGTCCGCGCACCAAAGGGTCAAGGGCACGTAACTGGGTTGCAGGTTCAATCTCCTGCCTCGGTGCTTGTGAGAAACAATCAATTGATGTGTCTCTCTTATATCAATGTGTGTGTGTCCCCGCCCCCACACTCAATCAAAGGAAAAAATATCCTCAGGTGAGGATTACTAAAAAAGAATTACAATATTTATTTCCCTTCCACTTCCACTAAGTATAGAAAAGGACATGTGCATCTTCCCTACTTAGATCCTGCAGAGGTGCAATCATCAGATCTCACCCCCCGCTCCTCTGCCCTCCAGAGCAGGCGGCATCTCCGGTTGCTCAGAGGTCTCCATTGGAGGGACCTCTCTCCCTTTGGCCTCTGTAAGCCCTGCCCCTTGGGAAGGCCACCTTAGGGTACTAACGTCCCCTCCAGATTCCACAGTAACACTAAGACAGACGCCCTCTTCCTTCAGTCCCCGAAACAGGTACATGGGGTGAGGGGAGCCAGAGACAGCAGCTGCGCAGAGAGAGGAACCAGGGCTCTTTATTGATGTCTGAAGAGGATGTGGCCCGGCCTCAAGGCGAGGACTCGGAGGGGGAGAAGTCCCCCAGGTTCAATACCAATAGACTTTCTTGTGCCTCCGAGTCTCCTGGATCCCCATGGCCTCCATCACCTCTTCTTCCAGGGTCTTCAGCCGGGGCACGTAGGTCCTTTCCAGGGCATCTTCCACTGACGTGTCTTTAGGGCCATCTATCGAGGAAGGAAGATAAGTGGGAGGTCTTAACATCTTCTATTCCCACTTTTATCTCCCCTCCCCCCCTCCTCCGGTCCGTCACCAGCCTCACCAATCCATGTCTCAGGGATGATGCCATCTGCTCTGGGAAATTCCGGTTTGGGGATAATTCTTCCTGATCTTGTGGAGACGCGGACCCGCTCGCCTGCCTCGGTGAACCTCCACTCCACCTCAGTGGGTTTCCTAGTGGATGGAAGAGGTGAGCCTGGCCTGGGAGCCAGGGCTTCCCGCTACTCTGAAACCTAACATTCAGTGGCTGCAAACACTGAGGCCGCCCTCTGGTTCCACTGCTGCCTCTGTACGGGGATTGCCTAGGGTCATGTCCCACAAGAGCATCCAAACCACCATCCACACAAAGGGAAACCATCAGACCAGAACCCCACATGCTTGCCTGTCCACAGGATCCACGAGTTTGACCTGGTTGTGGAGCAAGGGTGCTTCGCTAGGGATCATGGTTCCTCGGAAATCCGCAGTCCTGCCGATATAGCGGTAATGCTGTCCAAGAGAGGGGGTCATCAGAAACCAAAGGGAATGAAAGCAACCTGCCTACTGCAGCTCTGTGCATCCAGTCCACGCGGAAAAACAAGGCTCAGCCGAAACCGGTTTGGCTCAGTGGATAGAGCGTCGGCCTGCGGACTGAAGGGTCCCAGGTTCAAGGGCATGTGCCTTGGTTGCGGCATATGGTTGCCAGTAGGGGGTGTGCAAGAGGCAGCTGATCGATGATTCTCATCGATGTTTCTAACTCTCTATCCCTCCTCTTCCTCTCTGTAAAAAATCAATAAAATATGTTTATAAAAAAAAAAAAAAAAGGCTCAGCAGGCTCCCGGTGCCCTCGGCGAGCACCAGACCCTGTGCTGCTCTCACTGACAGGGAGACGGGCCAGGCTTCCTGAGCACCCACACCCCTCTCCTCACTCACCGTATTCAGCCCCTCCAGGACCACCCAGTTGCGCTCCCGGATGACTTGAACCACTTTGCCTTGCTTCCCGGCATCCTTGCCTTCTAGAATCTCCACCTGCGGCAAGACACGAGGGTCAGGGAGGAAGATCCTGTCCCTGCCCCCCCCCCCCATCCACCTCTCCCGAGGTCCTCACCCTGTCCCCACAGAACAGATGCCAGTCTTCGTCAGAAATGGGTTCCACCACCACGGGGGGCCGCCTGCTCCCGGGGGGGTTCCTCCTCTTGGCTGCCATGGTGCCTGGGCGGCTCATCCCATGGCGGTAGTGGGGGGGCAAAGTGACCTTGGATGCCAAGGCCAACAGGGCTGAGAGACGCATGGCTGGAGGCTGTGAGAAGTCCCCTGGCCAGGGAAAGACCCAGAACCTTCCTAGTCAGCTCTAGGAGTAGACAGGTGGACGGAAACAAGGGGACAAAGAAGCAAAGGAAGGGATTTTTTGTAAGTATTTACTCCATTGCTCAATGGACCTCATCTCGCTGAATGCCCCACAGAGTATTACCTTCATTCCACAGATGAGGAAATAGATCCAGGGAGGTTAACTGACCTGCCCATGGTTGTAAAGCTACTATGCAGGAGAATCAGCATTCAAACCCACACACATCTGACTTCAAAGCCCAAAAAGTTCATTGAGGCCAGGAATCATATTATCTAGCTCACCCCTGAATTCAACAGATCTCAGTAGAGCTTGGCACATATTAATAGTAGGTACTCAATAAAAAGTTATTAACCCCTAGCTGGTTTGGCTCAGAAGATAGTGTCGGCCTGGGGACTGAAGGGTCCCAGGTTCGATTCTAGCCAAGGGCACTTGCCCGGGTTGTGGACTGGATCCCTAGAGTGGGGCGTGCAGGAGGCAATTGACACATGACTCTCTCTCATCATTGATGTTTCTCTCTCTTGCTCTCCGAAATCAATAAAAATATATTTTAGCCCTGACTGGTTTGGCTCAGTGGATAGAGTGTCGGCCTATGGACTGAAGGGTCCCAGGTTCAATTCTGCTTAGGGGCATGTGCCTTGGTTGCGGGCATGTCCCCGGGTGGGGGGGAGTGTGCAGGAGGCAGCTGATCAATGTTTCTCTCTCCCTTCCTCTCTGTAAAAAAAAAAAAAAGTCAATTATATATATATATTTTAAGTTACTAAGTACACGAACAGCAGGATTGAAAGAAAACAGGTAATGGAACAAAACACTAGCATAAGGCCAAAAAAACAGGCAGTTATTCAAGTACAACTAACAAACAGGGAACAGAGGTAAAAACTGTTATTAAAATGTTCCTACATTACTTCCAATTCCTATCTTCGGTCAGGAAAAGACTACTCCTAAGACAGCTTCTTTTCTAAAAGAAAAGGACCCAGAGCCAGACTCTTGTGTCCTAAATTTCCCAACTATATACTGTAAGCTTCCCAACTTTAGATGATGAACTAAATCAACATGGTGGTGAACTGAAGGCAAAAATAAGTGCTTCTGTTTTTTAAATATATTTTATTGATTTTTTACAGAGAGGAAGGGAGAGGGATAGAGAGAGAAACATCGATGAGAGAGAAACTTTTTTAAAAAAAATACATTTTATTGATTTTTTTACAGAGAGGAAGGGAGAGAGATAGAGAACCAGAAACGTCGATGAGAGAGAAACATCGACCAGCTGCCTCTTGCACACGCCTTACTGGGGATGTGCCCGCAACCAATGTACATGCCCCTGACCGGAATCGAACCCGGGACCTTTCAGTCCGCAGACCGACGCTCTACCACTGAGCTAAACCGGTTTCGGCGAGAGAGAAACTCTTGCATACCCCCTACTGGGGATGTGCCCTCAACCAAGGCACATGCCCTTGACTGGAATCAAACCTGGGACCCTTGAGTCCTCAGGCCAACGCTCCATCCACTGAGCCAAACCGGTCTGGGCTAAGTGCTTCTATTTATTGAGCATTTGCTACCTGCCAGGTGCCATGCTAAGTGCTTTCCTGTATCGTATCATTTAAGAAAGGAGGTAGCATTAATCTTGTTTTAGAGCTAAGAATGAAGCCTCGCCTCCAGGTACAAATACAGTGCACTGTCATGGCATCCACATCTCTGGATGATCTAGATTCTAGTTCCTACTTTCACCATCATCTTATTCTGTGACCCAAGGCAACTTAACTTCTGAGCCTCAGTTTCATCACCCATAAAACGTCACAGGGTTGTTGGTGTCAAATTATTTTAGTACTTATAATGTAAATAGTATTATCCCTTTTGGGTAACTTAAAAAATATATACATATATTCCCGTACAGGGATAAATATTTATTGGAAGGAATTAGGAAATAACTCAAGTTTTGGGGGAGAGGAACAGTTTGGGAGGGTTGTTACTTTCCATCTGTTCCTTGCCATAACGTTTGCATTTCTTAATCATGTGTAGTTTTACCCACGACTCCTGCATTAGTCCTTTAGCCTCAGCCATTCTAAATCTGAAGCTCTGGGAGGAGATCCCAAAAGCGAGCCCCCACCCCCCTCTCGGATCCTTTCCATTTTCCCCCTCCATACCCTGGCGTGGCTGGAGCCCCTTTCACAGCAAAGCGCCGTGCAAGGCAGTGCCTGGTGGACCGTCTGCCCTTCAGGCCCTAGCTCCAAAGGCTTTCCCGCCAGCCCATCCCAGTGCGGGCGATGTCCCAGCAGCCGCAGCACCCGCCCGCTCCAAGCTTCCGGTGCAGAGCAAATCCAGACGACACCACTGAGCAGCAGCCCGGGAAAAGGAAGGCCTTTACCGCACCCACCTCCCCCACGAGCCCAAGGCTGACAACCTCCCCCAAGCTGCGCCGGCCTCACCTCCACTCCCCGTGGCACCACGGCCCTTCCGCTTGCACGTGGGGCCCCAAGTCCCGCCCGCCCGTCCCTCGGCTTTCTGGGAAATGTAGTCTTACCGTAGAGCGAAAGTTCAAGCCACCTAGCCTCTCTGCATGCTGGGAGTTGTAGTCCGCTGAATCAGGAAGTTGGGTCGGGTGGGAAATCTAGGAAGCGTAAGCTCACTGTGAAGCACCACGGACGTTGGAGGCAGAGCGGGATCGGCTGCCGCACCTGGCACGCTCCCGGTCATGCCGTGTGGGCTGCTGGGAATTGTAGTCGAGACCTGGCTCCATTTTCTAGATTGTGGCTTCCAATTTAAAGCAGAGGGCCACCCTTTGCAGGCAAGGCTACAGGTAATCCTCTTCCCACACGCCCTTCTCTGCTGGAGGCGGGCGAGACCGATTAAAAAACTGCCGTAGGTCTCCTATAAAGGGAGGGAGAGACGTGGGCCCTACCATGCCAGCCAAAGATCTAGTCAAGAGTCGAATCTGGGAGGAACCGCATGTGATCTGTGATCTAATCCACCTGCGACGATCCCGCCCTATCAACCTCCTCGCCTCTATCACCAGTGAAAGGTGCCTGTTTACCTAGCTCTTGGGTGTTGGTTCCTTCTACAACCAACCCAAATGCCATCCTGTGCTTCGACTGATACTGACACTCCTACACCCTCCATCTGGGACACTTTTTTCTTTCTTTTTCTTTTTCTTTCTTTCTTTTTTTAACATTTTCAGGTGCTTCTGGAGAAACCTGTGTTGAACAGTGACTGGGCAAGAGAAGTAAAATGAAATAGTGTGTTCTGTGACTGCCTTCATGCGGAATTTTGGATATTTTAAACAGCCTGGGAATGAAGGAGAGGCTGATACCCCTTACCTCAATCTGAAAGTTGATTTGGAAATCATCTGTATTTCCCTTCCCTTCTCCCTCTCTTCAATGCCCCCCCCCCCCAAAAAAAATCAGTCAGAATCCAATGTAGTAATCAACAGGTTTATTTTCCTAGAACTGAAATTGTCTACGGTTCTCAGAGCTAAACTACAGTCAGCAATTTTTCATCAGAGCCCTAGGGAGAGGGAGAGGGAGAGGGAGAGGGACACGAGATGGAAGAGGCAGAGACCACGAGACAGAGGCTGGAGCGCACACTCCCTTTCCTGTCCTCTCGGAGGGGTACAGCCCGACCTGGTGAACCGCCGAGGGGCCGGGTGGGAGCGTGTGGACGGGAAATGACACCAGAAGGGACGCCAAAGCCCCGGCCACAAAAGGAACGCCATCGAGCCCTAGCGGAGGGGAGGGGGCCTCCCAGGGCCCTCAGAAACGGGGGCCACAGCGAGGAAAAGAGGAGCAGCGTGGGGGCCACACAAAGGGATAGGGATCTTTAAATTTTTTTTAAATTTTCTTTTATTAAAAACATTTCCTAAAAAATGTGTCTTATCCTTTCTGTCTGGGTGACCTGTGACTGCAGGCTGGCCTTGAGCACTGTGGGGAAGGGAAAGAGCGGCTAGGGACCTCCCCGGGACACCCCCTCTCTGGCCCACCGTCTAACGGAGGCGCTGCCCCCCGATACTCCCATGGAAGTGGGGTGACGTCAGCCCTCCAGAGCCCAGTCCATGGACCAAACAACCGGAAGCCCAAACCCTTCTGATGAGTAACTACAACTCATAGAACTCCCGGGTTATTAGCAAAGGGGAAAGTGGGAGTTATCCATCACCGAGGGAGTCCCTCCCCGCGCGCTGTCCCACTTTCCCTGAATCTAGGCGGCTGAGAGAACAGGTGTCGGAGGGAGGGACAGGAGCTCAAGACGATGCCATCCTCCTGCTCACTCCCCACCCCGACCTGAGGACTGTCCCTCTCAGGCCCCAGAAGCCCACCCTTGCTATTTACCCTCCGTCCCTTTTACTCCCGACTCTGATCCAAACCAACCCAGAGGCCCAGAGTGCCTGGGGGAGGGGCTAAAGGGTGTAAGGAGATGAGAACAGCGGGTCCAGAACCCTGGGACCCAGCTCCAGGCAGGGAGGGGCATATCGGCCTCATGGCATCCCGTGGAGCACAGACATAGCCCTGACTCAGATCCCAGCAGTGTGGAGGCATAGAGGCGACACGGAGGCAGGGCCGGACGGCATGCCACCTCCAGGTCAGTCTCCAGGGACTGGGCTCGGGGAGGGAGAGTGAGTGGAAGAGAGCAGGTTGGGGCGGGGAGGGGTTCCCAGTTTGCAGGCCACGGCCAGTTTCCCCAGTAGCACCCAGACAGCAGCAGGAACGGGGTGGGGGCTCCTCTTGAAACATTGGTGGCTACAGGCTGCGAAGGAGGGTCAGAGGGAGAAGGGTTAATGGTGAGGCCTTGGCCTGCCCTCGCCCAGCCCGTGCCACCTCCCAGCAAAGTCCACCCGGGCTCCCGAGAGGCTCACAGCCGCATACCCTCCACCCCTCCTCGCCCGCCGGTCAGGGCTCCCTCACCTCTCGTGATCTCTGATGCCCGGGGCCTCAGCATCTTCCTTGGCAGCCTCTTCCTCCTCGTCCTCGGGCGGCCCCCGGCCAGAGCTGGGCTCCGAGGGGGTGCTGTTCTTCTCCACCTCCACAGGGGAGGGCCGCTCGGCCTCCACGCTGGCCACCGCCTTCTCCTCCCCTTCAGGGTCCTCTGCCTCTTTGGGACGTTTCGGGGAGTCCTAGGCGGGATTGGCGGAGATGGGTGAGGTGGGCTGAGGCTCCAGAGGGAGGATGGCAGCCTGGGCCCCCCTTCCTTTCTCCAGAGGCTCCTTCCTTTCACCCCAGTCCCTGCCCGGCCCCCTGCTTCTCAGCAAGGGCCTCCCGGAGACCGGGCCGGGCCTCTCTCAGGCTGGACTCCAGCTCCGGGCGCAGGGAGGGCCGTTACCTCCAATGGGTCCCCCGCTCTCCTCTTCAGCGCCCCCTTCTCGTTCTTCTCCTTGGCCGGCTCGTCGATGACCAGCTTCCCCTCCTCGTCGCTGCTGCCCTCGGCGTTCCCCTTCTTGTCACCATCGCCCTCCGCGGCCTCGGGCTCCGGCTCGGGCTCGGGCTCCTCCACACGGCTCCTCTTCTGGGAGGACTGGCGGGGACAGCGGGGGCTGAGTGGCCGCCGCGCCAGGCCCCTCCCGGCCCCGCCCGCAGCCGCTCACTCCTTCCTCTTCCCGCCTCGCCCCCGCCCCCACCCAGGTGCCCAGTCTCACGAGTGATTTGAGACCCACCTCTGTCGGATTAGCCCCGGGGGAAACCCACTGGCCGGGCAGGCAGGGCTCTGTGCAGGAGGGGGGAGGGCTGGAGCAGGAGGCAAAACCTCGGGTCAACTTCTCCCAGGGGGAGCTAGGACCTTTCCCCGCCAACCCCCGCCCAGCCCTCCCGCCTCGTCCTGCCCGGCTCACGTGCACCTCCTCCGGGAAGCCTCAGTGAAGGCCAAGTTCTACCCTCGCGCTGGGCCCAGCAGCGGCCTCCCCACTTACCGCCTCCATCCTGTTCCTGCCCCCCCTGGCCTCACAGCTACACCGCACATCAGCACCCCGTACCCCACCTCACCCCGCCCCGCCCGCCCGCCCGCCCCTCTGCCCTCTGAGCCGCTCCTGGGGGAGCCCCGGGTGTCCTAAGCATCCTGGCCGCCCCTCTCTCCGGGGTCTCAGGCCGCTGGCAGCTCACCTGGTAGCCGGAAGCCTTGACGGTAGGGTTGTTCTCGATCTCCCACAGCCCCTCGCTGAACCCTTTCCTCTTGTTGGGCTTGCCGAACTTCTCCTTGGACTCCTCGTAAGGGAAGAGGTCTTTGGGGCCCAGGAATGCCCTGGGGAGAGAGGGGAGGCTGTGCTCTCGAGCCCCTGGCCGCCTCTGAGCTCCGCAGCCTCCGCAGCCCGACGGGAAGGGGCCCTGCCCCACCCGTCCACCCCCCCCCTCCATCTGCCCGCCCCTCCCTCCTCCGCCCCTCCCTCCTCCGCCCCGCACTCACGTCTCGTGGGTCCCGAAGAAGAAGACTTGGTATTTGTTGGCTGCTGACTTCACCGCGGTCTCGGGCATCTCGTCAATCTGCGAGCAAGAGGAGAGAAGGAACCTTGAGCTGGAGGTCCGAGCTGCAGATGTGGGTTGTGGGGCTGCTGGCCTCTGGGTAAGACTGAGAGGGACCCAGAGGACCACCAAGGCGGTGTGGAAATTATTCTGGGAAGGAGGGTCAGAGGGAGAAGGTTAATGATGCCGGGGAACTTTTCAAACAAAGCCAGACATGAGAGCCCATCAGAAACCCTGGAGTCAAGTCACCCGTCTCCTTCGCACACCAAACAGCACCGTTCTGCCCTCAGAGGCCCAGATCCTGTCTGCACGCTCCTCATCTTTGCTATCAGCCTGGGCCAACATGGTCTCCTCTGGCCTGGACTAAACCACAGCATGAGTCCTTTCTGTCTCCATTCTTGCCCCACTACCACCCATCCTCCCCACTGGGCTGGCCTTCTGAAATGCTGGCTCCCAGTGAACATTCCCTGCCTCTGCTGGGAACCTTCCCATGGCTTTTCATCAGCCTGTCACTCTTCTCCAGAACGTCAAGGTCTGAATCCCATGCTGCCACCAATACTTGTACGACGCTGGGCACCTTATGGCACCTCTCTGCCTCGGTTTCCCCATCTTTAAAACGGAGACAGTCATAGTACTAAGGCTCAGGGTTGTGAGAACTAAAGGACCGTAACTGATCAGACGGATCCTTCAGCCTCCTGTCCTCACTAAGGCCTGACCAGCTTCCAACCTCAGCCCTGTCATCACTTCCTCCAGGAAGACCCCGTTCTCCCAACCTCTCTCCCAACCTGGTCAGCTTCCCAGATAAAACTCTCTTAGCACCTCTCCTTCACAATTCCAATTTTAGCTACTCGTGTTACCACCTAATTACTGTCTATGAGGACTACGCATGCCCGGATCATGGAGGTCTGTTTTTATCCCCTGCAGTGCCTAGTGCACAGGTGCACAGTAAAGGCTGCTGAATGAGCCTCTGAAATAGATAAAGCACACAGCTCTGGTAATAACGGAGGGGTGAGGAGGCTAAGGGGTTGACTATTCCCCCCTCTCCCCCACAACAGGCTTCTAGGGAGCACTTTGAAAAGTTATTTGCCCGAGTAACAGGGCAAGTCAGTGAGGGCCAGGACTTGGAAATAGCCCGCCTGTCCTGGGCGCTGGAGCAGTGTGTGGTGAGCGTGCAGAGGGCTGGGGGCTGGGAAATGCAGAGGCAGCGGCCCAGCCGGCCTCCCGGATCAGGAAGCCCAGGCCAAGCTGAACTGCGGAGAAACTACAACTCCCAGCAGCCCTTGCAGCAGCTCCGCTACCGGGCTTCCCTCGGACAGAGGCCAGGTGGCCATGTTGACGGGGCCCAGGCGCAGATAGGAAAGAGACAGGCAGGCCGGCCAAGGCTGTGATTAACGCACCAGGACCGGAACGGAGAACCTGGGGGCCCGGGAGACCTGGAAGCTGGGAGGCTGGGAATGTGCTAACGTAGACCCAGGAGAGAGGGTGGAGCCCGGGGCACGAATCTGAGGGGCATCTTGCTGCAGACACGGAGCCCTCAAGCTCCTGGGCACCTTCTCCCCTTGCCCTGTGGCCTCTGGGGACAGAGGTCCAGTCCCTCCCCCAAGGAAGGCCGGGCGCCAGCCGGGCCCTCCCCGTGACCAGGAGACTCCGAGGTGCGAACGCAGGAGGTGCAGAGGCACAGGCTCCCCCCGCCGCCCCCCTCCCAAAACACACACGATCCCCATCGCCATGACAACCCGACCCCGCCCCCCGGGGCCACTCAGCAGCCAGGAATGTGGCCACCCCTCCCCCAGGCCCTCTCTCCGGATTGGGGAGGAGGGGACGGACACACACCCCACCCACCGGCCCGGAGCCTGGCTGCGGGGGCCCGGGGAGAGCTCTAAGCTGCAGCCTGGGCCTCTCAGGAAGTTAGGGCCGAGGCTTGGGGGTGGAGGAGGCAGAGGATCCCGTCCCCAGCAGGACACCTGGGTCCAGTTACCAGCTAGCTCCCCACCCTCTTCTGGGAGGGAGAAGCAAAAAGCAAACAAACAAAAACACACCACAAACTGAGAGCCCCAGGGCTTAGAGATCCCGGGAGGCCGGTACAATAATGGCAACAATAGCCCCTTCCCTAAGCTGCTTCCCACCGGGAACAGGGCAGGGGTGGGGTCTGAGGGTCCCCGCTGAGAGCTAGCTCCGTTTTCAGGGCCACCCCGGGGCCAGGGCATGAGCGTGCTCCTAGGAAATGCGTGGTGAGAGGAGGGAAACTGAGGCTAAGAGAGGGGGTGGGGCGAGGTCTCTCCAGCACAGCAACAGCAAAGCAGCTCCCGGGCCGCACGCCCGGCTCTTTCCCGGGAAGGCTGACCGGTGTGAGGGGACCCAGGAGGCCACAGCTGCCCAACCCCAGGGGTGGGAGAGGCATAAAAGAAAGGCTAGGAATTAAAAATAGACAATGAGGCACACCCGACAGACCCGCCCCACTGGCCTCTAGCCAAAAAGAAGGTGGGTCTAGAGCAGAGAGAGACCAGGGCCTGGGCAGGAGGGCATCTGCCCCTAGAGGCTCACCCCGCCCCCAAGCCGCACCTGGTGTGTGGACACCTGTGGGGAAGGGGCCAGGAGGCACATTCTGTCCACGGAATGGAATTCCCACCTCCCCTCCAGGCGGGCCCTCCTCTGGAAGCCTCTGGAAGATGCTCGGAGGTCTCTGAGAACGCCTGTACCCCAATACAGTCTCCCAGGCGGTGCCTCTGTATCTTTATATCCAGGCTGTGACTCTACAAGTGAGTCCAGGGTAAGTGGGTCAGGGCGGGTGGGGCCAGATGGGTGCTGGAGACCCACGGCACCCCCTCCACTGGCCCGGGGCGCGGGTTCTGCTCCTTCTCTGCCACCCCAGACCCCAGACCCCAGACCCCAGGCAAGTTCCTCTTCCTCAGGCCAGGCCCTCGCATGAGAAACCCCGTCCACCTGAAGTATGCAGTATGAGGAGGGATGGGAAATTCCCAGGTGAGAATGAGGGAGAGGCCTGGGCAGTTCAGAGGCAGGCAGCGGGGAAGGCCGGGCCCACGGTGCTTGCCAGCCAGAGCTCTCGCCACCACACCCAGGGCCCGGGCCCCACCTGACCCGGGAACCGGAAAATCTGGGGCAGGAGACAGTTGGGGCCGGGAAAGTGTGGCAAACCCAAGAGGCAGAAAAGAGAAGGTAGTGTGCCTGGCGTGGGGGAGGGGCCGAGGGAGGAAAGAGGAGTGAGGGAGGGAGGCCCTCTGGCTGCTCAGGTTCGGTTGTCCCGGCGGTGAAACAGGGAGAGAGAGGAAGGAACCTGGGGGGAGGGGGTGGGGAGAGATACCCCTGAGTCCTGGAGTTAACTGTGAAGTGCTGGGAGATCCCCCAAGAAGTCAGGCAGGAGGAGGGAAAGGAGAAGGTCAAGATGGAGTCACACCATCCTTCCAGGTAGGGCCTACCACGTGGCCGGACTCTCCCAGCACCGCCCAGAATCAGCCACGCTACCCAGAAGGAAAGGCCACGGAGTGGCCTCACCACAGCGGAGGGGGGTCCCTGCTCTTCCTCTCAGGAGGGGCCGGCCACTCTGGGGACCAAGCCCACACCCAGGGGATGGTGAGGAGGCGTGTGTGTGTGTGTGTGTGTGTGTGTGTGTAAGGGGGATGCAGGTCAGAACTAGCCCCTCCCCCCACATGTGAGGGGTGGCCACATTCCTGGCTGCTGCGATAGTCAGGAGCCAGAGCACAGGCACAGGGCGGAGCCCAGCTCTGGGACCCTGGTCTGGGCTCCCTCCCCCAGCCCTGACTTTATCTGCGAGGCCCAGGCATCAACAAAGGAAGAGGCTCTGCCCCGGGTCCCACCCTCCGCCTGGAGGCCAGTGGTAAAGAAATGGCATCCCCAGCCCCAGGCACTGCCCTCACTACCACGGCCACCAAAACCCTACAGTCCTCCGGCCTCCATGTAGGCCCAGCTGTGTCTCTCCTGATCCCTTCCCTCGTCCCCAATGCTGAGGGGTTCTCTGAACCCACGTTCCGGCTGTAACCCCTCCCCAGGCCTCAGCCCGGGCTCTGGACTTTGTCCCACCCCAGCGGGCAGAGCAATCAAGACCTGGATTCGGTTCTTGCCCGGCCCACCAGGGCCTTGGCATCCAGGCCAAGAAGCCAATTGGATCAAAGGTGCAGGGTAAAGTACATGAGTGTTCACATGCCACACACATACATGCACACACAAGGCCCCTGTGGGGCTGCCTCCCCCCCTAGTCCTCTAGGAGGCCCCGGAGCTGGGGAGAGTCCTTCCCTTTTGTACTTCCCTCCCATTCCAGAGGCCAGGCACCTACAAGTTTCCGGAAACGAGGAGCTCCAGGCATGTGGAAGTAGGCAGACGCCTCAAAAGAGAGTGCAGAAAGAGGAAGGGTCTTCTGGGTTCCTCAGAGGGACCCCGAAGTTGGCCTGACACTCTGAACGGGTCACCAGGGAGCCTGGGGTAACGTCCTAAGCTCAGAGCAGGATCTGGGCCAGATGAAGACACACAGACTCCCGCCAGGAAGAGCAACCACAGCCTTAAGGGAATTCTGCACGTGGCCCCCTGACCCAGAAGATGCCCTCCCCGCCCCCCTTTCTGCCTTTGGACCTCACTCCACACCAGCCCTACACTCCGGTCACCCACGCCGAATGCCAAGGCCGCCCAATACCGACTTTGAAATAAGTTGCCCGGGGCACTGCCCCCTGTGGCATCCCCAAACCCCTCCAGCTCCCTCTGGCACCTTCCTCCCTCCTGCTTCACCTGCCTCAGTCCTGGGGGGGAGGAGAGGGGAGACATGACCACAAACCCAGCACTTTGGGGCCCCACCCTCCCACCTGGCCAGGTGCTGGACATGGGGGGAGGGGCCCGCGTATTGGCGGGCTGAGCCACCACATGGCAGACTGGGCCTCTGGGGCACGCGAGCCTCACGTGGGGGTGGGGGCAGGAGGTGGGGGGAGGTGCAGAAGCCACCCGGGCTCTCCACCCTGGTCTCCTGGCCTCCAGCCTCCACGAAGGGGCAGGATGGAGTGGACTCCCCTGGCCCCTCAGGCCCCCATTGGAAGTCGGCAGCATATGGAGGCGTTTCCGTGGGGGGATGAGGAGTGAAGAAGGCGGATAACTTCCGAACCAGGGAGATCCCCTCCTGCACCGTGTCCCCCCAAAAGCCATTCCTCGACCCTCCCAACTTCAGACCTCTTAAAGGGCGCCCCGAACCAAAGTTTTCCAGGAGCGAACTCCGCCTCCATCTATTCCTTTCCTGGGCCGAGTGATGTCCTTCTGGAACCATTTAACCCAGGAAGGAGTTAGAGCTCGGGACAACGATCCATGAAGGAGCGGGGTGTCTAAGGGGGTCCCTAAGGGGCGCCTGGGCGGGGGTGGGAGGGGGGTAAAGGGGTGGGAGGAGTTACAAGACCGGCCCGAACCGAGGCGACGGGTCCGAAGCCGCCAGGAGTCCTCCCGGGGGCCGGGAGCGGAGCCGGGCACGCACAGCCCGGCAGGACAGTGCCCCGCGCCCTCGGGGCCCCACGCCGCGCGCCCGGGCGCCGATCGGCCAGGGGTTCGCCGCCCCCACCACCGCGAGGTCGCCTCCCCATTATATAAGCCGCGAGCGGGCTCGGAGGCGCCGGGGGACACGTCCGGGGCTCGGACCCCCGCCCCCACCCTCCCCGCGGGCCGCTCGCACCCTCCTCCCCGGCGTTATGCAACCCGCGCCCGAAGCGGGAGGGACCGGACGGCTGGCCGCGCTGCTCACCCGGGCCGGCCAGTGTGGGTAGCCCTTCATCTTGGCGAACACCAGGTCCCCGCATTTGTACTCCTTCTGCCGGTTGGACCGCGACATGGCTGGGCCCCGGGCGCCCCGGGCTCCGCGCCGGGCCGGGAAGCGCGAGCCCAAGTTGGCGCGCGTGGCGGTGGCGGTGGCGGCGGCGGCGGTGGCGGCGGCGCCGCTCCGCTCCGGCCCTCGCGCGGCCCCCGCCTCGATGGCGGCCCCCGGCCCCAACTCCGGCGCGGCCACGGCGTCTCCCCGCGCGCGCCGCACGGACGGGGCGGCGGGCGCCGGATCCGGGGCGACGCTCCGCGGCGCGGCGGCGGTGGGTGCGCGCTCGTGCGGTTGTTTGTGTTTGAAATTAAATTGCTCCCTCCTCGGCGGCGCGAGGCCTCTTCCTCCGCCACCGCCCCCCCGCCCGGTCCCCGCTCCCGCTCCCTCCTCCCTCCTCCCCGCCCCTCCTCCTCCCCCGCCGCCGCGCCCCCTCCCGCCGGGGTTCGATGCGCGCAGCTTCCGGACGCTCCGGCCTGCCGCCGCCCGGCGCCCAATCCGAGGCCGCCCTGGCGGCGCGCGGCGACCAGGCGCGGGGAGCCGATCGCCGATGTCGCCGAGCGGGCTTTGTGTGCCCCCGGCCGGTGGGTGCCCGCCCGGCGGGAGGAGCCGGCGCCCGGCTGGACGGAGCGGCTAGCTAGGCGCCCCTCCCCCGGCCCGGCCCCGCGGGGCGCTCGCGCCGTGGCCTCTACTCAGCCAAGGAGGGGCGACTTCCCGCCGTGTCTCCCTGCCCTCCGCCCTCTGCTCCATCCCCACCGGGAGCGCGTGCTCGGGGCGCCGGGGCCAGGGGGGGGGGGTGCTCTCCGGGCCGCTGTGCGCGCAGAGGTCTGCCCCGGACCTCCACGTGCTCAGTCGGTGGCCCCGGGGACGTGGGAGATTTGCTCCTCGTTGCAGACCTTATGGAAGAGTTTGGTAGCCAGGAGGTGGCAGAGGGGTTGTGGCACGCAGTGGCCACGTCCCCGGTGCGTTGGGTAGATGTCCGTTCGCTGTGCTGCTGGTTCCTGGCAAAAGAGAGAGCTGGGCTCTGCGCTAGCGAAGCCCTCGAAGATGAGTTCTGTTCTAGCGGGAAGAGGTTGTAGAATAAGGTGACCAGACGTCCCGCTTTTGGTGGGACATCTGGTCACCTTATTGTAGAAGCAACTCCCAAATCGTGAAGACCGGGACCAGGCACTACCTCTCTTGGAGGTGGGGGTGGGGGTGGGAGAGAATCTGGGAAGGTTTCGCACAGGTGGCCATCAGAGCTGGGCCTTAAAAGACGGGAGTGGTTTTGCTGGGTTCCAGAGACTGCATTGGAGCCAAGGTTTTATATCTTACCCAGGGACAGAACAAAACTTGAACTCAGGCCTCTTCCCGCTGAGCCAAGCAAGACTTGATTCTAAGGACGTCTTTGGTTTGCTTGTCACGGTATGGGCCTTGGATTTGCCCATATTCCAGATACCTGTGGTCTCTTATTAATAAGATTTTTGTGCCCTAGCCAGTTTGGCTTAGTGGGTAGAGCTGTAGGCCCACCGACTGGACTGAACCATCGTGAATTTGATTCCACTCAGGGGCACTACCTCCTTTGCTAGATGGATCCTTGCGGGTGGGTGGTGGGCAGGAGGGCAGCCAATCAATGTGTCTCTCTCATAGTGACATTTTTTTCTCTCTAATTCCACTCTCTCTAAAAAATCGATGGAAGGACCCTACCTGGTTTGGATCAGTGGATAGAGCGTTGGCCTGTGGACTCAATGGTCCCAGGTTCCATTCCAGTCAAGGGCATATACCTTGGTTGCAGGCACATCCCCAGTAGGGGGGATGAGCAGGAGGCAGCTGATTGATATTTCTCTCTCATCAATGTTTCTAACTCTCCCTCTCCATTCCTCTCTATAAAAAAAAAATCAATAAAATGTATTAAAAAATAAAAATCGATGGAAGAATGTCCTAGAGTGAGGATTAATAGCAACAAAAGAAATAAGGCATTTGGATCATCTGATATAGCTTGTCCAGATCCTTAAAATTTTGCAACAAAATGCTCTAGGTTGGAAAAAGGTAAAATATGCATGTTTTTCTTTCCACACATTTCCTGATCCTACTTTAAAGCATATATAGTCTCCTTGCAGGGAAGGACAGGAGGGAGCCAGAAGGCCCAGGTCCACATCCTTCCTCTGCTTGCTGTTCCCCCATCATGAGAACTTGGGACGACCCCCTGAACGTAACCCTGGGGTTTCCGTGTCCTCAGCAGGAAGACGGGGGAACGTCGCTGCCCTGCCAGCGTCAGCGGCGTGGAATAGGTGCTTGTCATCGGTGGGGAAGGCCTGCAGCTCCCACAGTCCTGGCCAGTTGGTTGTCCCGCCCACGGCAATGCATGTCCAAGTCTTGCCTATAGAACAGTGTGCCCTGGGCATCGTTCATTCCCCCTTGTGCTAGGCGTCCCTCCGGGGCCCAGGCTGCTGGCACAGCGGGCACTCTGCAAGGTCCTGTGGCAAGACCAGAGCACGTCGTCAGCCCTGGACTTGTGGGTTTGTTCAACGGCAAATCCAAACTTGTTGCACCTGAGCAGCTCCATCCCAGTAGTCTCGGCAAGAGAGACTCTTGTCACACATTTTTAAAAGGCATTTCAGCCGGGACCCGTTTGGCTCAGTGGATAGAGCGTTGGCCTGAGGATTGAAAGGTCCCAGGTTCGATTCTGGTCAAGGGCATGTACCTTGGTTGCTGGCACATCCCCAGTGGGGGGTGTGCAAGAGGCAGCTGATCAATGATTCTCTCTCGTCGATGTTTCTAACTCTCTATCCCTCTTTCTTTCTCTCTGTAAAAAATCAATAAAATATATTTTTTAAAAAGATATTTCAGTAAACCCAGTGTCACAGTAGGGTTGTTTTTTTTTTTCTTTTAATACTTTTTATTGATTTTAGAGAGGAAGAGAGAGGAAGAGAAAGATAGAAACATCAATATTGAGAGAGAAACATGGATTGGCTGCCTCCTGCACGCCCCCAAACCGGGCATCAAGCCTACAACTCAGGCACGTGCCCATGACCAGAACTGAACCCAGGACCCTTTAGTCCGTAGGCCAACGCTCCATCCACCGAGCTAAACCAGCCAGGGCTAGGTGTTTTGTTTTTTTAAGTGCCCGGGCCAGTATTATAAATACACACAGTTTCAATGCAACAAACATTTACAAACTATTTTCCAGTTTAGCACACACCAATTTAGGTAAGAGTCCTATCCATTTCTCCACCGTGCTGGGTCATCAAATCCGGTTTGGAGGTGGCAATAAGGATCCTGCGTCCTTTTTTTGCACCAAATCTCTCGGGCCCGTCTCCGTCCACCATGCAGATGCTGGCTGCCATAAACCAACCAGGCTTCCCTTTGTTGCTGTAATCTCCCCGGCCTTGGGTGCAATTTAATATCCAAGTTCTCTTTACAATAACATCGGCCCACTCCCAGCTGCCCCTAACAACCCAGTCGAGGCAGGGGAGGGTCCGTTACAGGGGCAGGTGGGCAGAAGCCTGCCTCCCTTGGGATTTAGGTCTGACCTAGTGCTTGTGTAGTCTTTAACGTGCAACCGAATCACCTGGGAACCCTTCAAAAGCAGCTCTCATTCAGGGAGTTTGGGGCGTCTGCATTTCTAACAAGCCTCAGGGTGCGTCGGCTGCTTTAACCGACCCTTTGAGTATAAGATTGAGAGCACAGGCCCCCGACTGCCAGAGCAGCTTGGAGCCAGTTCCCAAATGTCTCAGTGAAATGATGCTGTTGATGCTGGTGCTCTGCTCGCCTCTGCATTTGTGTGGGAGGGAGGTCAGGACAGAAGCCAGGGGACTTGAGGCCCCAGCGCAGAGCAGACTTGTGAGTGCAGATCTGGCTGAGGGGTTCTGAAGGAGCAAGGTCAGGGAAGAGGGAGGTGGACTGACTCTGTCCATATCCGGAAGGAAGATTGACTCAGCGGCAGGAGGGATGGGGCTGAGAGTACTAGGGAGGGGGAAGTGTGCGCGAGTGGCAACAGCCTGGGTCTATATGTCTGGGGACCTAGGTTTGAATCTTGCTTTTGGCAAGTGACCTGAACTCCTTTTTAAAAAAAATATATTTTATTGATTTTGTACAGAGAGGAAGGGAGAGAGATAGAGAGTTAGAAACATCGATGAGAGAGAGTCATCGATCAGCTGCCTCTTGCACACCCGCTACTGGGGATGTGCCCGCAACCAAGGTACATGCCCTTGACCGGAATCAAACCCGGGACCTTTCAGTCCCCAAGCTCACGCTCTATCCATTGAGCCAAACCGGTTTTGGCGTGACCTGAACTTCTAAACAAAATTTTCTTCCACTGTAAAAAATGTAAATACAAATAGCTGTGTTGCCAAAACCGGTTTGGCTCAGTGGATGGAGCCTCGGCCTGAGGACTGAAGGGCCCCAGGTTCGATTCTGGTCAAGGGCATGTACCTTGGTTGCGGGCACATCCCCCCGGTAGGAGTTGTGCAGGAGGCAGCTGATCATCTCTCATCAATGTCATCTCTCATCGATGTTTCTATATCTTTCCCTATCCCTTTCTCTCTGTAAAGAATCAATAAAATATATATATTTAAAAACCAACCAAAGAAAACAAAACAAAAAACCAAATAGCTGTGTTATGGGGTGGTAAAGGAGATCATCAGTATCAAAACCTCATAGACGCACCTGGCTGGTGTGGCCCAGTGGTTCAATGGCGACCTGTGACCCAGTTCCATTCCTGGTCAGGGCACTTGTCCAGGTTGTGGGCTTGATCCCAGTAGGGGATGTGCAGGCTCTAATCACTGAGCCACACCAGTCAGGGCTAGCCTTCTTTTATTCTTGTCTGGGGTTGGGGAGAGCCTGTTCCCCGCTATCATGAAGTGGGGAGAGGCTATAGCTGTGTCTTAAACAGCTTTGAACCAGTCCTCATTTTTGTTCCCTTCCCGCCTCATGTCTCATTCGCTTCTGGAGGCCCTCCTGTGCTTTGGAGGCTCGGCAGGAGCCCATATTGGTCCTCACTCCCCTCGGCCAGCTCGGGCCTCCGCCAAGTCTGTTACCACCGGACCCTTTGATTCCCTCCACCCAGAATGTTGTAACTGCTTCCCTCGTTTCATCACCCCTTTGTGAGTTTATATCTTTTCCCATTTACAAAATGGCCTTTCATTGAAGTTTTAACAGGATTTCAGGAGGGAATCCAATTAGATATGTTCAAGTCACTTATCTTTTACTGAAAGACTTTATGACTATTACTACTTTTGGAATAGATAATACATGTACAGGTTACAAATTTCTAAAAGTATGAAAGAATGCACATAAGAAAAAAATCTCCTTCCCACCCACCCATGCCCTGAAGTTCCCTCCTTCTCTCCCCCCTCCCTCCCTCCTCCCTTCTTCCCTCCCTCCCTCCTCCCTCTTTCTCT